AATTTAGAGAATTTGAAAATTGGAATGACAGCTTCTCCACCCCAAAGGATTTACACACACACACATATTTATTTAGGAATCCAGCGCGTTTCGGGGGCAGCAACTCCGCCCCCTATATCAGGGTTAGAATATAATATAAAAATAGAAAGGTAATATATGGAATAATTCTATATTCATTTAGAATCATGTATTATAATAATGAAATAAGAGGGTTTTTTCAATTGTTTATTTCTATAAATTTTTTGGGTCATATTTTAGCCCCGATGAAGGGGGCGGAGTTGCAGCCCCCCAAAATAACCTGTCTTTGGACTTTGTATTTTCATGATGTGGGGCTTCAATTGTGGGTTCCACCATCCTCTCATAGTACTGATGAACCTGTGTGTGGTGTAGGGGGGTGCCATCGGGGGGAGCCGGCCGTGGACTCTGTAAGTGGCGCTCGGAGTACACAGAATTGGTGAACGTTTTACACCGCTGACCAAAGTCTGAGAACCAATCGAAGTGTCCCCTCTTCTTCTATAGATCCGTCACTTACTGTCAGAGCCGACATCACCGGGCGTTATTCCAATCGTCTCTACACCTATGAGCCGCAAGACGTCCCCGTCTGTAAGTTTTTTGTTTTTTTCCCCCTGTAATCTCATGTAGCTTGAAGATGCTGCCAGCAGCGTCACAAGGTGGGTGCGGGGGGTACGGCCTGCACCCGGCTGACACCGTTGGAGGGCTAAAATCGATAAATGGTCACTGGTACTCCAACTTGATGCAAAGTCAATACCTTTTATTGACTGGGATAGTGTCACATTTATAGCGACGTTTCAGAACCAAGTGGCTCCTTCTTCAGGCAAACTGACAGTCATTTTGGTGTCACCCCCTATGAAAAGTCGGGCACTCCGTCATTGACTGAGAGCCCGACAGTGTCAGGAGAGAGGAGAGGACCCGGCAGCATACCTCATCCGCCGCGTGAACTTCCCCTCCTCTCTCTGCTGGCGTCCATCACAAATTAGATGGCCGCGCATGTGCGATGACATCACCGTGGGGTGTCACCTGGTCTTCCCTCCGGTTGACACCCTGCCTTGGGGACGCCCCTTGATGCTGCAGTGAGGATTTTCTACAAATGTATTGTGTTCATGCCCCTATGTTAGCCCCCTCAGGGGTGTTGCCTCAGGCGGCACCTCTTTGGGTCACATGGGGGGGCGGCAGGCAGAGTGGCATGGCTGCTCTGCTGCACAATGTTTGCGGGCCAGAGCACCCCAGATTGCTAAGAGCCAGGCAGGGAGATGTGTAAGGGGCATACACCTCTCCCCGCCCATCTCTTAGCAACCTGGGACGCTATAGCTGATGTCCTAATTTAGTTGACCGGCAACTGCCAAAAGATCCCGACACGCGCGGCACCTCTGGCTGGGGGGGGGCAAAAATGCAACTTTGCCTGTGTAGGCAAAAATCCTAGCACCGGCCCTGGTGATGCATACATTATATATATATATGTAGAAGTGAGTAGACTTTTCATCTAATTTGGCTTTGAACATTCATCACTCAGCAATCCAGAATTGCGTTTCCCTAATTGTCTTCTTTGTGCTTTTGTATTGCAGTGATAGAGAATATGAACAAAGCGCTGCGCCTCGTCCAGACAGAGCTCTGATCGGCAGTCAGCGCCGGGCTCCGTAATGTCTTCCTAGATATATATCATTATAATCCAACTCGCACGTGTCCTTTTCAACTCCAAACCGTATTAACAACGCGAGATTTGTGTCCGATGCTCCCGGGGAACCCCAAAAGTTGGTGCCGTTACCTCACCGTCCCGCATCGCTCCACGCTTCTCCGACGCAGCACATTCATAGCAGCACAAATTATGACACCCTTTAAGGAGACGCTGTCATTTTGCCTGTTTATAGCCAAGCAGTGCTTTCTACCAAGACTGCCAATTGGGTCAGAAGGAGTGCGGGCCCCCACTCTACTCTAGCACCCTAGGCACAGGTCCATCAGTGTCTTATGGTAAATACTAGACACGTGCGATTCGTTTTGTTCCGATATGAAATTCGGACGAAATTTCGGAGATTTAGATGCCTCCGAATTACAGATATAACCAATGCAAAACGAATCCGAATTTCCGATTCCGAAATTCGTTAGCGGCAGTCTGTGCGAAATTTAGTTTGTTGGACGAAATTTTGTTGCCGCAAAATGGATTTTTTTCCTCAAATGTGACTTTGCTGCAACGAACGAACGAATGCACGAAACGCAAACGTAACGAACGTTCGTACAGACTACCGCTAACGAATTTCGTCCGAATCCCGAAAAGAATTGATTTTCGGAACCAAATGCCGAAAAAACGAAATAATGCAAAATTCGAAACAAAACTAAACAAATGTTTTGCCGGTGCGCATGTCTAGTAAATACATCCCCATGCACAGAACACTAAGCAGTGGGAGTTAGACACATAAGCTGCGGAAAAATTCGGTTCCGTTGGGATATTTGGTTATTTCGGTATTTGGATCCAAAATTCGATTCGGGCGAAATCTGAATTTTCGTTGGTTTCTGGGGTATTCGTTGTGAATACCCCAGAAACCAAATACAGATATTAATACTAAAGCTGAGGCTTCCAGACCCGAATGGCATTCAGGAGCTCCCCAATGCAATTCGGAAATTCGGATCCTGAATGCCATTCGGGTCTGGGAGCCTCAGCTTTAGTATTTATATGTATATACCAGACATGTGCACAACAAAAAAAAACGTTTCCAGGCGTTTCGTCGAAGGAAACTAATTTTTATGTTTCGGATTCGGAGGGAACGAGCCTCCGAATCCGAAACCGCGCACTAAAAATGCAGAACGAGCGGCGCCATCCTGGAGTATACCAAAATCTACCCCAAAATGGCGGCGAACACGTTGGCAGCCAACGTGGCTGCCACTCGTTCAGCGTGTGACGTCACCGTCATGTGACGTCACATGCTTCCCCTCCAATATGGCCGCCGGCGTGTTCTGAAAATTAATTTATGTATGCCCGAATATCGTTTTAGTATATTCGGGCATATATTAAATTCGTTATTTCGGATTCGGACCGTCGAATCAATTGATATTCGTTGATTTCTAGGTTCGACCGAATCCAATTGCACATGTCTAGTAAATACTGTATATGGCTCCCATATTGCCGTAACGAAAATTTGTGTTCAGACCCATTCGGATGTATTAAACCAAAAAACTTATCTGATTGGCCAGAAAAGTCACATGTCCCATTCAGTTTCCGTTTTGAACGAAATTTGGACGGGATCCGAAATTCGGAAATGGAAATTTGTATTCGGATGCATGGGGATTTGGAAATTCGGATGTGTCCAGATGTCTACATTTCAGAAAATTTGTCCCAATTTGGATTCGGAACGAAATGATTGGCACATGTCTGCTGGGAGTACTCACACTGAACCCTCTAAACCTCCTGTAGGACAATCATAACGCCTTCCAGACTCCTTCCCATCGCCTCTCTGTGAGGTTTTTGTAGGCCGTAGTCCTCTCAGCACCTCTGAGCGTTTCTTCTGTACACTCATATTTTCAGGAATGTTAATAAAATTGGTTTATAGAACAAAAGTCTGCTCGTTTTTATGCTGTAAAATGCATTAAAAAATAATACTTGTTAAAGTAGCGGGTAAACCACGCTCTGTGCTTCATCAGCTTCAGTGGGGTCCATAGGTGACACTAGGGGACTAATAGACCCCCAATGTCTCCCTGAAGAGGACCTGTCACTTACATCAAGCTGTCACAAAGGGGGCTTGTTAGTCCTTTAAGTGATATTGATTAAGCAAGGTGTAAAAAAATAAAATAAAGTGTGTGCTGTGACACAGTTATATAAATCTGACACAATTCATAGTCATAGTTCATATTCATACAAATGTGAAGTGACAATTTACATAGTTTATTTCCTTAAAGGAGAATTATGAGGTGGTGAAAATCGCTAATTTTCATAGTTCGAACCGACGTGCGACAATGAAACTGTCACAGGTCGCCTCTATAGATCGGGAAGAGCGAACGCATACCGTCACTCGCTCACTTTCCGATCATCTCCCTGCAGAGAGAGGTGACTGTCAGTCACAGCTCCCCGCAGGGATTCCCTCCCTCCCCCTCTCTGATCCTCCAACGCTGAGTGGAGAAACGGACGGGGAGGGGACGGGCACAGCTGGCTCTGCCTCTAGATAGGAAGCCGGGCGGCAAGTAAGAGGTGCTGTCTGGTTTCCTGATTGATCAGGAAGCCAGGCTGCCTGATACAGGTGATGCCGGCTTCCTAGCCAATCAGGAAGAAGAGTAGCACATCATGACCCGCCTCACGGCTTCCTAAGAGGCTAGGAAGCCGGCTTCACTTGTTGCTAGGTAGCATGGCTTCCTGACCAATCAGGAATCCGGGACACGAGTCATGACCTGCCCCCTGGCTTCCTGTTGGTTAGGAAGCCAGGATGCTTACCAACAAGTGCAGCTGGCTTACTAGCCAATCAGGAAGCCAGGCGGCATGTCATGACCCGCCTCCCGGCTTGCTGATTGGCTAGGGAGCTGGCTTCACTTGTTCCTAGGCAGCCTGGCTTCCTGACCAATCAGGAACCTGGGAGGTGGGTCATTACGTGCCGCCCGGCTTCCTGATTGGTTAGGAAGCCAGGCTGCCTAGCATTAAGTGAAGCCGGCTTTCTAGCCAATCAGGGAGACGGGTCATAATCCACTGCCCGGCTTCCTGATTGGAAAGGAAGCCGGCTACGTGCTCCCTCGGCACTTGCTGTCAGAGGGAGATCTTCCTCTGACCAGAAGTTCCGGTATCGGAGGCAAGTGTCAGAGTATCGGTATCGGTTCATCCCTATATTATATTATATTCTATGTTCTATGTGCACACACCTTATTTCATTCTTGTGTATTTGTTCCTAAAAATATCGATTTGATAAACATCTGCACATATATTGTGTGACAAAAAAAAATTAGAACTGGCATTTTTTTATTCTACAGGGCCTCTGCTTTCAGAAAATATATCATTGTTTGGGGGTTTTATATAGTTTTGTAGCCAAAAGTTCTACTGATCTCCAATCCAGCCACAGAGACCCGCCGTTCCAGTCATGGGCTCTCATGGAGGACAGTGGAGCCCAGGATAGCTGGCAAAAGCAGTGGAGAGAGGGGAAGCGAACACTTCCCACACCCTTCCCGCACCATACAAGCAATCAGGCAGCTCTAGGCTAAAATCAGTCAAGCTTTCCTATAGGGATGCACAGATACTGATACTAGTGTCGGTATTGGTGCCGATGGCAAGTACTCGTACTGGCCAAAATGCTCCGATGCCTTCCGCAGACACCCTGGAAGATTTCCTCCGACCAGCAGTGCTGTAGGGGAACATGGAGCGATCGGGAAGCTGGGCTGTGAGTAATGACCCGCCTCCCGGCTTCCTGATTGGGCGGGAAGCCGGCTCCATACCAGTTGAAGCACTGGTATCGGTACTCGGTATAGGTAAGTACTGAAAGCAAAGTATCGGTATCCGTACTCAATACCGAACAACCGTTATCAGTGCATTCCTGCTTTCCAATCATGCGCAGGAGCGAGGAAGGGCATTTTCAAATGCCCGCCCACCCTTACGCGGCAGCCGTACGGCCGTTTATATACAATTGGTTAATTGGTGGGTTAAAGTAGATTGTGCAATCAGATTGTAAGTTGTATGGCCAGTTTAAGTCGTGGAATGGAGAAAATTGTGCCCCCCCCCCTCCCCCGAGATGTGGAGGAACGTAGAATCTCTAAAAGGAAACATTGTAATATATTTATGTGTCGAGTTCCTTCTTCTTCTTTCCCGGCATGAATTGGACTTTCCCCCTTCTGCTCGGCTTAATTAAGTCATAAACACGAGCGGCTGAACTGGCGGAACCGGATCTGCGGCAGCATCCGTCTTCGGGCCCGCAGGGTGTTGCCCGGGCACAGCAGGTGTCCAGTATGAGTTTCCGAACAAGCTCCGTCTATGTGACACGGGCAAATATTTGTACAAGCCGAGAACAAAAGGGGCCCATCGCAGCGCTGAGTGTGCAGAGCTAAGGACACATCAGCCCGGCTCTGATTCAGGAATGTGAATGACCCGACGTTCTCGGTGTGATGTAAACGATACGAAGCTACGGCGTGTGTGGGGATTTGTACCTGGCTGTGGAATTCCGGCTGCAGATTGTGTGAACATGGAACAAATAATTAAAGGAGAACTACGAGGTGTATGATTTTCAACTCCTCCTCATAGTTGGAGCCGACGTGTGACAATGAGGCTGTCACAGGTCGGCTCAATAGATCGAGAAGTGAGTGAACACATACCGTGGCTCGCTCACTTCTCGATCATCTCCCTGCAGTGAGTGGTGACTGTCAGTCGTCGCTCCCCGCAGGGATTCCCCTTTTCTCCGATCCTCCAGCGCTGACTGGCGGAACGGACGGGGGAGGGGGCGGGTACAGCTGGCTCTTCTCTAGATAGGCAGAGTCAGCTGTCAATCACACGGCTGGATGGATCTCGGCAATAATGTCGGGATCCGTCCCGGCTGCGGCGTCTCAGTATACCGCGAGCTGTAGCCCGCTATATACTGAGCCTAGGGTGACGGGAGACCGTAGAAAGGCATCATGGCACACTCGCAAAACCAGCATGTAAAACAACTTGTCTCACCA